CGAAGCTTCTTAACTGAAACCCAAGGCTCACGTTAGCTGTTTCTTGTTGTAATAGCATTTCCGTGACAATCTTCACTCCTGCACGCAAGTAGATAGTAACATGAGAGAGATTTTCTTTTTAATTTTTTCAAAAGAAAAGATCACACGAAACCCATAACCTTCTCAAGTTTCAACTTTCAACCAAGGAAAGAAACAATGAGCTGGTTAATTTAGACTGTTCACCAAATAAGCAATCTTGTGGACTTGGACCAGCAAAGCCCACCCAATTAGAGAGCTTTCTTCTTTCATATGGTGGACCAAGAGACTGAAACTTGGCATCTAAGAGCAGTGTCGTTAGAACCAGAGTCGATGAAAGACCAGAAATCTCGCTGAGTCATAGTTCTATTGGTTTAACCAGTGGTTAGACTTCATCATCGACTCTAGAGTTGTAATCAGTTTGGTTGGATTTGAATCGAATCCAGCCACATTTTAAAAGGAGGCATTCAATAACATGCCTGATTTTACCTTTAAAAATAAGGGAAAATTTCATATTAGTACCTTGTAATTTTAGTCTAGTGCTATTTTGATCCTCAAACTTTAAAATGTGACAATTTAGTATTCAAACTTTCAAAACGTATCAATTTAGTACCTACCATTAACTAGCTCGTTAACCAGCCATTAAGTGCTATTTGAAAAGACATAAATACCCTTCAAGTGTCATCTAATTCTCCATATCAACCATTCAAATATTGACAAAAAATGACCGGTCTCAAATCCTTGCCTCTTCTATTTAAGAAAGTTGGAGTCACTAGAATGCCCACTGAAACGTAACTAAGGGTGTCAATGGACTGGTTTTGGATTGGACCTCATCCAGTCCAAAATCAATTTGGACGGATTGGATGGACCAACAAGATATATTGGAGTGGACCAATCTGGACTAAAATATTTATTAGATTGGATTGGACCTGGTCCGTTTGTAATAAATTTATATGGAATTGGGTTAGATTAAGCCAATATCTGGTCCATTGATATAAGATAAGAAAATATGTGTCAATGGACCGGGTTTAGGTTGAAACCAATCTAAATCAAAACGAATTTGAACAGATTAGACGATCCAGACATTAAATTGGACCGGTCCAAATTGGCCCAAAACATTCATTGGATTGGATTGGACCTGGTCCATTTATAATGGACTCATATTGAACTGGATCAGATTGGACCAAATCCAATCCAGTTGACACCCCTAGACGTAACCCCAACTTTCTTGAATAGAAGATGCAAGGATTTGAGACTGTTCTGTTTTTATCAACATGCGGATATGGTTGATAAAGAAAATTAGATGACACTCAAAGGACATTTGTGTTTTTTCAAATGTCACATAACAGCTAGTTAATGGATTGATTAATAACAGGTACTTGATTGACATATTTTGATGGTTCGGGTATTGAATTGTCACCTTTTAAAATTAAGAGATCAAAGTGGACTAGGTCAAAAATACAGCGTACTACTCAGAAATTTTCCCTAAAAATAAAACAACTACCACGTCAGCAAAAACATATTATCCATTCACAACCCAAATTGAATCAGCAAAAATTCACCTATCATCGGTTCACTGGTTCAACCATCCGGTCTGACCTGAATCTGACAACATTGCAGAAGAGTGTGATATGACAAACATGTAAGTGCCTTCTGGGCTGCCATCTAAGCTGCCAAACGTAACGTACTAGGGAAAGTGTAGATTGCTCCAGTTGGAAGAAGAATTCGAAATCAACAGAAATAGACAGCTAGATCAAATAAAATAAGGTGAAGTGTGGCTCAGTGATTGCATGATTCAAGGATTGAGACATCACTGGAAGGATCCATCCAAGAACAGATGATCCAAAACTTGTGATGGCAGATGGCCCTACCATGTGCACTTTGGATGGGAAGCAGAGTTTTCTCATATAATATAAGTGATATTATCGAATGTTAATTCCAGTTATTTGGGGTCTTAGGAGGGTACATCGGGTACGGCCCTAACCTTTGGGGCTATTTTGCACTCAAACTTGTTGTTTTGGGCATTAGTGCCCTGTCTACCCTTTTTTGCATTTAGAAATTGGAAGACCCTTCTTTCAAGAAATGAAATATTGGAAAAAAATTAACTTTGGGTCCTTTTTTTATTGATTTTGGTTTTTAAATCATCTATATATTTATATTATATAAAAAGATATTTGTATAGTTTTGGTGATGCAGTTAATAAAAATTAAATTTGATAAAATAATGTTGACTTATTATATGTATCCATTACACCAAAGTTTTTAAAACCAAAGCAGATAAGGAATCATTTTGGGATCAGTGTCTGGGTTGTACAGTTCGATTGTCCAATTCGAATGGATGATATATTCAGGTTTAAAAAATAAAGAAAAAATAAGAAAAGATAAAAAATCATTTTCCGGATCGATGGTTTGACCACTTGAGTCAGTGATTTACTTACTAAATCAACGATTTTTGTCGAAAAAGCAGTTGTTGGGGTAAAATAGAACTGTTATCGATTTCCAAATGGAAACAATTTTGATTTTGGAAAGATCAAATAGAGGGGTAGTATAGTAAATTTGTAAAACTGTTCATCTCTTAACATTAAATCTCTGACAGGGTATCTTTGGAGATTTTGTAAAGTTAAGGCAAGTTGAAGAGGAATATTGAAAAATAAAGGGAAATTTTGCATTATTACCCTAATTTTATCAATGATTTCGATTTAAATCAGTAATTCCAAAGGTTTACTAAACCAGTCAAAGTTCTCCCCTAGTTGCTCAATTTAGTGTTTCACGGGTCAGTCATGAGCAAACACTATGCTCATATGTTTATTAGCAGTTGGTGCATCTGTGGTTGCTATGCCAAGTTTCCTTCCAGCAATCCCTGATGCGATCGAGTTGATGTTTGTTGAATAATGAAGTAAATGAACCATTGGTCATGTAGATGGATGATGTATGTAAAGTTTTAGGTTGTGTTTGGATATCCAAAAACAAAGGCTGTGTTTCGAAAAGCTAGAGGATTTGTATTCTTAAAGTCCAAAAGCACAAAACCCCAATTTAGGATTTGGGCTTTAAGACTTAAAAATGTATTAGCTTCAAACTGTTATGTTTTTGAAAAAGATCTCTTACCAAACGCTTGAAACATTCTTTTGCTCAATTTTGCTTCCAACATTCCAACATTCCAAATCTCAAAAACAAAACTTATCCAAACGAAGCTCTTATTCTTTAGCCTAAAGGATTTCGTGATTTCCTTCTTAATCTAACTTCTATGACAGCCAAAAAGATTTAATACCTAAGCAGCCAGATACCCTTAACAGTCAAAGCTTTTTTTTTTTTCTCTTCATCTAAAAAAAAAAAAAAAACAAACTGTCAAAGCTTTTTCTTTTAATTTTCTTCCTGATATTTCTCAGCTTTGCTTTCCAGCGAAGAAAGGTTTCAACTAACTTCCAAACCCAAACAAGCATCCAATTCTCATCTCAAAACTGAAGAAGACTGGTAGACTTGTAGTTCTCACTAAAATTCGCATTGGGGCATAAAGTGGATTGAAGTAATCGATCGTATCACCTTGTGGAATTAAGTCTTGAAATATATATTCAATCGATTGCAAATTTAACCCACCCACCGGTCTAACAACTGTAGATGTTGTTCCCACTTGGTCAGTGGTTCAACCATCCGAATCAATGGGTCAACTCATGATTCCAACCATCTGGATCTATGGGTCAACTCATGATCTCATCAGCGCAAAAAGTTTTCAAAAAGAGAAAAACATTAAAATTCAGTAACACACTAAATGGGCTATTATACAGTTCAATGGTTCAATCAACCGGGTCAATGAGTCATTTACTGGGCCAACAGGTTTTTGTAACAAAGTGGATTAGAAGTTGGCCCAAACTGGGATTGTGACCAGGACATTGGACCACTGGTCCGACCAGCCAGGTCAACAATTGATTGAAAACAGTGGCCCTACCACACCAAAATTAGAGTTAATTGATCTGACTTAAATCAGAAAAATACCACTAGTTGTGGTGGGTCTCAGTGTCTCACTAAAATTCTCTTCTTGTGAATTAAGTACTAAAATAATTCAATATAATCATGTCCTTCAATTGTTCCCTTAATTAATCCAAAGCAATTAGCCATTGGTAGTGAACCCTAATCAGCCAGAATTGCAGTTAACTAACCTGGATTAAATCAATTTTAGGCTCAGATTATACCCATAAAACTGATGATTGATGACTGTCAAAAAATTGAGAGCAAAAGGATTTTGATTTTTAAGGGCTCATAAGTCAAATGCTTTCCTTGTCAAGCTAAGCTTAGACATGTTTGAGCTACAAGCAATTTGCCAAATAAAAGTACAGTTAAGGATTTTTAAAATTGCAACAGGGATTCACGCTAACCCTTTCTAGTTCACGTTGCTTGCAGCATCCTCTCTCTTTCACTTTTCTAGCATCAAAGATATTTCAGAGGAAATTGAGCAGAAAAGAATGGTTAATTTCTGGACGGCTCATCTGTACTCCTTTCCTATACGGAACCCCTCCACAGTTCAACCATGAAAGGGATGACTCTTATCTCTCAGATTTGACAAGTTTTGTGGTGGACTGGTGGGGGCCATATGTCTCAGGACTTTCCATCTGAGAAGTGTCCGTTGCAGGATTTCTGGGTCGTCCAGTTATCTTCACTAGACAATCTCCTTAATTGGTGCTTACACTTTTACACCGTCCTTCTCTTGAAAAGGACATATCTGCTCCATGTCGCAAAGGAATGGCGTGACTTATCTTCTTGTTTAATCCTTTGTATTCTTTTATCTGTGCACGAAGTTCCAGAGCTTCACGCATTCTCTCTCTAATGTAGTTATATGCCACCTAGCCTAAGAAGAGCCCATCTCAGATTTTTTATCATTTTCAATTCTCCCTCTCTAGCTCTCTTCTGCATTAATTCTATGTTGCTTTTCTGTAGAAGATCTCTAATGGCTATTGATCAGAAGGCAATGAAAGTTTAGAATCTTTTGAACACATGGAAAGGCTGTTTCGGACATCTCTTCTTCCACTCCAGCTTGGAGTTGGGGGGAACTCATGTTCCCTGAAGAATGAGGATGTTGATAAGTTCTGTTCCTCTGTTTCAGCAGATGTGAAGAAACTTCAGCAATCTTTAGCTACTGGGGCTGTCTCTCTTCGGTGGTCCATGGAAGCCATGAGTGTCTTGAAGAAGATACATATCGAGCTGCTTCTGCTCATCGAGAGATCCAGACTACCCATCTCACTGGATGGTGAAGATTGGTTGGATCAATACATGAAGGTGACTGTAATGCTGTTAGACTTCTGTAACTTGTTGAAATCAGCAATCTCTGGGATCAATAGGTACAGAATGATGGTTGATTTCACAGTCAGAAAATTGTGTGATTGTGATTCTGGTGTTGCAATTAATAGAATTGAAGTTGAAAGATTGGAAAGAGATAGTAAGAAACTTTATGGTAATGAGAAGCCAAGAGATGTGAGATTGGATGAATTGGTAGTACCCAAATACAAATTTAAGCGTAAGAATGGTGCAAATCCTGTTATATTTGCTGCCAAGAGTGCCATGATCGTAATATCTTTGCTTCTTGTTTCTGCAATTGTCACCCCAGTTTTAATCAACATGGATGAGGGAGTTCCTAATGAAATTTCTCAATTGAAGTCATTGATGCAGTCGATTAAGACACTGGTGTCATGTTTCCATGAGATGATTCCGAAGCCCGGGGAGGATCCAAGGCTGGTTTTGGCTGAGAATGTGATGATTGAAAGCGTGGTTGCTGATCTCAAAGCTCAAGTTGCAGAGGGAGTTGTCGAGGATGGGGATAAGTTTTTGAAGGGTGTTGATTTGCTGAAGAAAAGATCTTCAGCTCTCAAGGAGGGCATTGACATGTTTGATTCTATAGTAAGTGATGTGTTTGAGGAGGTCATCAAAGGAAGGAATAAGGTTTTGGGAATGCTTAATCCTAGTAAGGAAACTTAGGTGTGTCTGGAAGCTCAAATGTGAAATCAATTCTCCTTAGTTTTCATAACATTTGTAGCCATAGTATATCATCTAAGTGGAGATATTACTGGAATGTTACTGAAAAAACAGAACTGATTACATTTCTTGAAATCCTTGAAATGAGAGTTCTCTCTTCTTTTTTTTTTTAATTTAACTCTCTCTTTTGTAAAGAACCCATCATATGCATTATTAATGGTTAGTTTATATGAACAAATGCAATGAAATTCCAAAATGAAATCGTTTTCTGTATCCAGTTGGCCAATTATGAATTCATGATAAACCAACTTGTTGATATTAGTGTAAATCATTTGCACAGAAACTACTCTGTTTTATTGTTAGAATGATGAAAACATAAACTAACCTTGTTATTAGCTGACTACCATGGGCTTCATTTGTTACAGTACAGAAACTTGATCTGCAGTGGTACTGAAAAAGTAGTGTGGGGCTGTAAATCACTAAATCTTGCACCCTGAAACTACCAGGTTGAAATTCTTGCAAACAAAAGGTGTAATGTATACAGCCTAGAGTAGAATTTTTCTATAATGTAGAAATTTTCAAATAAGATCATGAAAGGCCATTACCCAATGCTGGTAGCAGCTATCTAGGGTCATGGAAGAGGTGGACAGGAAACAGACTTAACCATTGGCATTCTCAGACTTGAGAGCCTGTGTTCTGGCTCTTGTGAGCCCGACCTTACACCAAGCAATGACACCTTCAAAATAAGATTCATGCCAACAGAAAACTGTGCTGTCAAATATGAAAGAAAAATTACATCATCTTATCCCTTCCTGCATTGGAAACAAACTGATCCCTCAAATTCCATAGAATAATGCTAAGGATTACATCCCTCCATTAAGTATCAGGGAAATGATAAAATAGGTGCTTGAACTGATCATTTCAGTTGTCCTGAATCCTGATTTGAGTGCAGGAACATCTTAGTTAAGTATGTGTGCAATGGTAGCATTTTTTCTGGTCCAGAACTTGAGGAAACAAATAAGAACATATTGGGTATTGGTTTCAAGGTCGAAATTCTGAGAGGAAATTATGATAGTTTAGTTTCAAAGTAGAACACTTGAAGTCCCCCCCCGCCTCCTTCACATAGTCATATTAGCTATTCCAAACTCTCAAACTTATGTTTCGATGAAAATCTATAACTGAATTCCTATCTTAAGCCCAACTTGAAACTATTTATCTGTTTAGGCTCAGTTATACAAATATGTACAGTGCAAATACAAGAAATTCTACACATGGATGGGTTAACTTATATCATTGCTCTTCACCATCTCAAACACTTAGCAGAGTCCTTAACCCCTGCATTTCAGCTACCCTCTTGTAGGTATATCTTTCGAACCCAGATTTCCTATTCACTTTTCGTACCCACTCTCTTCCCGCCGTGAATTGTGTGTAAGAAATCCCATTTGATATCTTTGCTGGTATGGGATGAACCAGAATACGAGTTCAGATCTGCGCTCCACAGGGGGTGCCCCATAATGTCCCACAGCACATCCCTGTCGAGTATTGAGAACATCTCCGGATCATAATACTAGAAATGATGGATGTTCCCAATATACAGCGGAGATGTGCTGAATATATCTCTACACTGCCACATAAGACACCAACTAAGAGCAACGTAGGACACCAATTTGACTTCTCCCCAAAATCCCATTTATGTTTCTAGTAGAAAAATTATCACTGTTTTTAATCAAAACAATCTCAACCAAAAACTGAAAATTGACATTTACACTCAAAACACCTGGGTGGTGCAGTTTTAAAACTGGGCTTGGGCTAAAAATCAGATTAGCCCAGATTCGTTTTATTTGGACCCTGGTCTAGCTAGCTCAAGACCTGGCACAGTGGCACAATCAGTAGTGCCTCGGGGCAGGCCTATTAACTTAATGGGGACAGGCCCAATGGGCTCAGCCTAAATTTTGATAACTAAAATGGGCTATAACTGGGCCTGTCTCTAAATTAGTTGGTTCATCAATATTAAAATTAAACTAGTGAATGACCCCGTATTAAGTACGGGGAAGTTAATTAATTAATTATATATATATGAATAAACATTAATGATTTTTATTACTATTTTTTATTATTGTTTATAAATTGCCATTTTTTAAGACATTCATTCAGTCTACGGATCCACACAAATTCACCCTTATATGTCAAATCTGCAAAATTATACGGGTCATTAAATTCAACTTGAACCATTTATTACTTTAATTTAACCATTCTTATTCTTATTCTTATTCTTATTCTTATTCTTATTATTATATTTTATTATTATTATTATTATTATTATTATTATTATTATTATTATTATTAATTTATTTTAGTATTTAATTTAAAATTTTTGTTATATAGTAATAATATTAACTAAATTTGTAATTATTTAAATATTTACTTAAAATAATTTTTTTCAACCAAGTATAATTATTAATGTAATAGCATTAATGATTTGGTTTAATAATTTTAATTACTATTAATAAATATTGATTCTTATTTAAGGTTTAATTACTGTATTCGGTAATTATTATGGGCCTCACTTTGAATAAACATTAATGATATCTGATGATTGTTATTTTGTTTTCTATTATTTACTTAATTAAGTATTTGATGATTGTTATTATTATTAATTATTTGTAGAAATAACTGATTGTTAATATTATTTACTTAATCCAGTAATTTTTAGCAAGTAATTATTTGATTTAATCTGAATTATTTTAATTTTTTAATTATTTATAATAGACATTTAGGGTAGGCTCTTTATTTGATTTAAGAGACTTATCATGTTTGATCTAGAGAATGACCCCATACTAAGTAAGGGGTAACTATAATATTATTTAATTTGAAATTTACTATTTAACAATAAAAATCAATGTCCTCTTGAGCAACCCACCCCTAAAAAAGTATCAATAACTTTGAAATCATTAATCTATTTATAAAATAGTAAAATTAGATGAATGTTTACAACAATATCACCAATACTACTTAATATTTAGGGGCATATGAATGGATAAAAATGATTTAAATGATATCTATTTAAAGAGAAAAAGAAGGAAGAAAATCATTCAAATAGTTGATAAGAAAACAATCCATGCCAAACAACATTTGCAGGTGCATCCGTCCTTTAAAGTAACAGTTGAAAAATATATGACTACAACCAAATCATTATCATGTATGGCTACAATCAACTAATAATATAATCAGGACTTCAAAGCCCATCTAATGGAGGAAATAGAAAAAGAAGGAGAATAATGGGACCATCCCGAGTATGGAGGTCACCTCCAAGTTAAGTGGCAACACTTCTTTTGGTCGATCATGGTTATGGATTTTAAGTTTAAGCTCCCAACAATGCACGTAGATTGGTTGGAATTTATCTTTAGGAAAAAGGTAGAGAAATTTGTACATAATCTAATGATATGTTTGAATTAAGGGAATTGGGAGATAGAAATAGGAAATGCTGGTTGAAATTATAATTTTGTGCAAGTTGATGTGTCAATTTCAAGTCAATTAAAATACTCATAGATTTTTAGTTCATACATTTAGTGGTAATTTGAATATTTTTTTATTCCATGTTTTACTGAGTAATATAGATAAATAATATATTAATAATTATGAAATCAATAATAATAATAAGAATATTATTATTACTATTATTTACTAATATTATATTCTTATGGGTAAAATACAAAAACCTCCCCTGAACTTTTGAGAAACTCAACAAAAGCCTCCCTTCCGTCACTATCCCAGACGGATAACGTTAGATTGATGCACCAGTTTTTTTCTAAATATCCATTCTACCCTTTTATAAATTATTTTACATACAAAATTACTGAAATAATCCTATTTTAACTCAACCGACAAACATATTATGTTAGATTACTAAAATGATCATTAAAAGAGGTTTTTGTTGAGTTAAAATGGGGTTATTTTAGTAATTTTGTATGTAAAATAATTTATACAAGGGTAAAATGGGTATTTGGAAAAAATTGGTGCATCAATCTAACATTTTCCATACAGGACAATGACGAAAGGGAGGTTTTTGTTGAGTTTCTCAAAAATTCACGGGAGGTATTTGTTAAAATGAAATTATAGGGCAGGTTTTTGTATTTTACCCTATTCTTATTATGTGTATTGATTTTGAAATCAGTAATATTAAATTATTATTATTATTACTTATAATAATAATATTGTAAACAAGTAACACTAAATATAAGATTATATTTATATTCATATTTATATGGATTAATATAAATGTAAAATGATTAAATCCCAAATAATAATAAAAATTATTAAAATACTTATTACTTATCATTAATTAATTAACATTTTGAAGTAATAATTATCATTATTATAAAGAATTAATTAGTAGTAACTAATTATAATTACAAATCATTATTAGTAATAATAATTAATTATCGCTATTGATAATAATAATATAAATTAATTAATATAATAGTATTAATTACAATTAGTGATAATAATAATATATTTAATTATTTCGTCTAAAAGTCTGAATTATAATTTTAGATAATACTTATTGATGCAGGGTGATTTGACCCGACCTCGTAGCTCAGGTACATGTAGGCGTGACCTATCTCAAACAGTGACTCAGCATGACAGCACAACGGACGTGAGCGCAACTCGGTGGGGAAGTCCCACCGAGTTCAGCACGGCAACCCGACAGGTAAACTACTCGCCGAAAGCCGCCTCGCCCGCACCTCCTCCCTGGGGTTAAGGCACTTCAAGGGGTCCCGAGTTTGGGGCACCCTGACCCCTTTTGAGACCCAAGCTCCTCCCAATGGACCTCGGGCCACTCCCAAGCAAGAACGCACCGATTCTTCTTCGGACGCCCCGAGGCGCAAAGACCTCGAGTTGGCTAGCTCGGCATAACCGGCTGCAGGCAGCCCGTCACTCAAGGGACAGCCCAGCTCAGAGCAATTCGCAGGAGAACAGCTCGGTATACCATAGGTACCCGA